TTCTAGCCTCACCTCCTCCTTAGGAAATGAGGCCTCTCTCTGCCAATCAGTGTGATCAGTCTTGCCAACATGTCAATTTGGTGAACAATATAAGCACTTAGTGAATGCCTCAAGGGCAGTTGGCATTGCCACAACACTGGTGGTTTCACAGAAGATGCCACAGGCTCTTCAGGATATAACAGAATTTCTAGAGAATCAACTGTTACGGCCACTGTCAATGGTCATCTCCATCTCATAAAAAGCTCTTCTCCAATTCACCAGTAGCCAAGATGCCCTTTCCAGGATTCTTTCCTGAGACACAGGGGAAGGCCTTCAGCACCTCCTCCTTCCAATCCCGAGATCTCTTTGATTCATTAGAATCTAGTTCATTCTAATTCAATAGTCCATCATGTGTGGAAAGCAAGACTCATTTTCCACACACTGCCCAGGAATAGCTCTTCTCATCCTGATGATCCCCAACTAATAAGATGAGAAATTAAGGATGCTAAGAAATTAGCTCAGGACAATGGGGAGGGAAAATCATTTCCATGATTTGAACAAGCACATCAGAGAAGATCCACGGGGCTGTTACAATGTATGGAGGTGGTGGAGGATTATGTGGGTCCTGTCAGAACAATGATAAGTCACACAGGTAATGATGAAACTTTTGCCAAATGCTTCAGCAGAATACATTCCAGCCATCATGATGTTAGCAAAAGTGTTATCAACTACTGATAGGTATGACTGAAAATACCTAACGACTGGGCATCCATAGGTGAGCCCTCAGACACCAAGAACAAATACAGGAAGAGTGATGTCCTAGTCCTGAACTCAAGGTAGAGAAAAGAGGACTGGCTAGTGAGAGAGCAGTAACTCAGAAACCTTAGGGGTCACTGACATGAGGCAATACTTGGTGGCTCCTGCCCTGCCAGTGGTTGTTATTTAAAATGTGATACTCTCTAGCTCTGGCCAGGGGACTTTACTCTCCCTGCTATTAGTGACACACACCAAAAGAAATCCAGTGTGGGTGAAGTGCAGGGCTGGAACTGAAACCTCTTTAGTCCCTCTGTGCTTCCTTCCCACTCAGAGTGAAAGCAGAGGGCCCTCAACAGAGCAGCTTCAGGCTTGATCATCCCTGGCTCTCTACAAACTCACCATGGAAAATCCTCATCTCTGGGTCTGCGCTTGAAGAACTCAGAGGACCAGGATAGGCCCATTGCTTCTCAGAAACTCTCCCCTCCTGAGCCCCACTCCTGAAAGGATCAGCTGAAGCCTTCCTCCTTCAGGAAGCTCCCCATCCCTTCCCCAGGACTCACTGTGCTTTCCCCAGAACCATTTGTTTCTTGATGTGTGACATGGAGGCTGAAGGTCATCTTCCTTCTGCCTTCCTCTGATCTCCCTGTGCTCGCCATCCTGTCTCCCAAGAATCCTGTTCAGTCTAGTCAGCATGTCTGTAGGTGAAACACGAGACACTGGACCAATGCCCCAATGACAGTTGGTGTTGCCACAATACTGGTGACATCACATGGAATGTCAGGGCTCTCCGGGAGACAGTAGAATGTCCATGCACTGATGTCACATGGTATATCTGCTACCCTTTGCTTTGCATTTAATATCCATTTAAGAGTAAGCCCATACCATATTTGTCTTTCTGGGTCTGTGTTACCTTCCTCAGTATCTTTTTCCATCCATTTGCCTACAAATTTCATGGTGTCACTATTTTTTTTACCACTGGGTAATATTCCATTGTGTAAAGGTACCACATTTATATTATTATATCCTTCACTTGAGGGCCATCTAGGTCGTTTTCTGGTTCTGGCTATTATGAATAATGCTGCTATCAACATGGTAGAGCAAGTGACCTGTTGCATCATTGAGCATCCTTTTGGTATATGCCCAAAATGGTATAGCTGTGTCTTAATATAGGTAGATTCCTAATTTTCTGAGGTACTGCCCTACTGATTTCCTGAGTTGCTGTACAAGTTTGCACTCCACCAACAGTGGAGGAGTGTTCCCCTTGCTCCACATCCTCTCCAACATAAACTGTCATTAATGGATTTAATCTTAGTCATTCTGATAGGTATAAGATGGTATCAGTGTCATTTTGATTTTCATTTGCCTGATGGCTAAAGATTTTGAGCAATTCCTTACATTTCTTGCTCCACTCTCTCCTCACATGGTCTAGCTCAGTCTTGTCCTGATAACTGTGCACTCTTCTGTGGGAGCACGTTTTTGGGTTCCTCGTGCCTTTACCCTACAGGTCCGCATGGAGAATGATTAGGACCATGGGCCTGAGTGCAGGTGTCTGAGATGTTTGCACTTGGTTGTGCTGGGGGAAGAAGTCATTTGCTCCACCCCTTGGTGTCTCTATAAAAACCCTGGGGCAGAGACAGTAGGGGCCCATTGGAAAATGTTACAGGCTTCTCAAGGCTATCCTTTGTTTATTATCTTTTTATTTCAGCAAGATTCTCTGCAATAAATCCTTCTATCTAATATTTCCTGCTGCTTACACTCAAGAAAACTCTGGGGAGCTGTGGGGTTGGTGGGTAAATGCCCCACAGAATGGTGCCATGAACAGGG